AATGACTAGCTTCAAAGAAGGCAAGAAGGAAGTGTTAGGGGATTATGGCTAGCTATAGCTGCACTACATGAGAATGCTTTTCCTCCCACGGTCCTGAGGAACAGGGGCTGAAATGTATTCAAATTGTTGTATTGTGCTATACAGGTGTTGGTGAAGAGGACTTGAATAAATTATAGAGTGGACACTAAAAGAAGGGAATCTAATTGGCTTTTGCAGCAACCTACAACAGTGGGAAGGAGAGAGATATGTCCTGTTACCAATGGATAGATCTGGAGTCTTATGATGGTCAGTCATCCTACAAGATGAGAGTTTGAGATGAGATATTTTGTCTTGATTTTTACAAGTTACTTTTTCTAACTGTGGGGCCATTTTTGAGACTCAAAGAGTTCTAGGGTTGAGTGGGGACTGCACCCTCAGGCCTCGTTTTGTAGATGAACTAACATTTTCCTTCTCCGACCAGCTAATACTCCAAATTTCTAGTTCTGAAAATGGTTCTGTAGAAGTTTGTATGAGTCTTTTGGGTTATCAGAGAGCTAGAATTTTTTTGGAGATGGAAATATCCCCTTGATTTATTTCAGTAGCTTTTCATTGATGTCCCTAATTTTGTTTTCTTGTACTGCTATCTGAAGATACAAAGAGATACTAAAGGCAGCTCCCAATTTACCAAATCAATCACAACAGTTTATTTGGATATGCAGGGTGTATCTACTCCTTACTAGCAACAAAAGCAACATTGCAGGCCGAAGAAGCCACATCTTTCTGTCACTGCTGGGTATGCTCAGCCTGGAAATGATATAAAGGGAAGCACCACTGCTCACCTGAGTTAGACCACTGAGGAAGGTGGATGCAGATTGTAAGCGCCCTACACAAAGCTCTGGAAGCCCGTTTACAGAGGTCAGGCACATGGAAATCCAGGTGGCCAACTTGATGACCTGCAGAGACCAAAAAGATCCAAGAACTGCTATACTAGGAGACTGGATTGGAAATGGCCCTGAGGAAATAGACACTGGTCTGCTCATAAGACTGGGAAACACATCAGCATATTTCAGTGGGACCCTTGCTTACCCATTTGTGGCCCATTCCCCACCCTGACATTGTTAGGGCTTTAGGTTGGGACCCAGTGGAGTGGGTAGGTCAAGGGCCACCTACCCTCTGCTTTAAACCCCAAATCAGGATGACAGCTTCCTCCCACCTTAGGCCTGGAGGCTTGTAGTTGTCTACCATTCACCAGAATCGAAACTGGACTGTTGAGACTGTTGGCTTGTGGCTCCACCCTACCTGAGGGCCTGAGACCCTGAGACTATGTCTAGACTTCGGGAGAACCTTTTTTCGGAAGAGATCTTCCGAAAAAACTTCTTCCAAAAGAGAGCATCCACACACAAATGCACATCAAACAAGATCTGCTTTTTTGAAAGATAGCATCTACACTGAATGGACACTGTTTCGCATTTAAACTGTGATTACTATGGATGGAGTGGCCACCAGAGCACCTGTGCTTTTTCCTCTTTCTTTTCTTTCGAAAGAACTCCCTCTTCCCCATCCACACACACCTTTTTCTGAAACAGCTCTTTTGGAAAAAAAGCTTCTTCCTTATAGAAAGAGGATAACCAATGATGGAAAAACCCCTCTGTTCTTTCAATTTACTTTTGGAAGAACACTATTGCAGTGTGGACGTAACTTGGGTTTTGTCAGAAAAACTGCAGTTTTTTCTGACAAAACTCTGTAGTGTAGACATACCCTGGGTGACAGCCCAATCTACACTGATTGCTAGGTCACACTGTCCTGGGAGCCAGGATGGCCAAAGAATTCTGATCAGTAATCACACTCTCCCATGTTGGGGTATGTCTACACTAGCTCGTTAGTTCGAGCTAGGTAGGGTAATTAGGACAATCATTCCACGAGGAGTAACAGTATTTCGAATTAGGATCTCTAACTCGAACTACCTACTCCGTGCCGCGTGTAGCCATGGGCACGGACTTTGGACTAAGGGGGATTTAAAAATGGCGGCGCCCGGGAACATGCAAATGAAGCCCGGGATATTTAAATCCTGGGCTTCATTTGTAACTCCGGTTGCCCTAATTACCCTACCTAGCTCGAACTAACGAGCTAGTGTAGACATACCCTTGTGGATTAGAATATCAGAGAGACTAGCAATTGGGATGGATGTTCCCTGACTATACATGACCAGACACCCCTACACATAGTGTATTTCCCTGCCACATGAGGTTATTGGTTGAGAGCATGAATTATTGTAATATCAATATTTTGATTTCCAGACTGGATCACTAGAATTAGAGCAGAAATGTAAAATGGAGGATATATGAAAGGAAAATATATCACAAAGTGAGTAACTACATTACTAAATATAGTCCTGATTTCCTACAGCACGAAATTCTCCCATGCTGCAAGGCTTTTCACACTACTTAACCCTGAAAAGGGGCTCCATGCTGGCTTCCTATTGGTTGGTGCAGAGGACAGGTCATGGGTATGTAATAAGAAAGGCTATGTGACTACATTTACCCTAAACCAACACCATATGCAATCAGTATAGCAATATCCAGCTAGTGCAGTGGTCCCCAATCTTTCGGGGCTGCCGGGCACCAGGGGCAGGGCGGTGCATGCGCCGCGCACCCAGGGGCGGGGCCGCTCATGTGCCACGCACCCAGGGCCAGCACCACGCATGGGCTACGCACCCGGGGCAGGGGCCGCCCATGCACCGCACACCCGGGGTCGGCACCGCACATGTGCCGCACGCCAGGGGTGGGGCCAGCCCAGATCATTTGGCGGGCATACATAAATGCCCCGGCGGGCGCCATGACACAGTGTTGGGGACCACTGAGCTAGTGTAACTCACACTAGTTAAGTGTAGGTCTCCACACAGATATATCTCCAAGTATGCAAATGTAGCTCTAAGTGATCTCAATGTGAACACCACATCTAAACACCCTGAAATTTGGGGAAGTTTTGATTTGAGCTGAGACTGCAAATTCTCAAATTTGGGTGTATGAGTTTGCTCCCAAGATATAAGAATTCAGAGAAGCTATTAATAACTTTGCTTAACTATCTTCTCTCTTTTTCTAATGTTCCCTGTGTTATTAGGATCTCCTCATGCCTGCCCCATTATCTCCAAAAGCTACATTGCCCTATCAACAATCATGTGTCCCTGAAGCCATCCTCAATAAAAACTTTTATTAAACAGCAGTGGGATTCTGCTTTTCTCTAAAAACTGAGCTGACCCTGTCTGAAAAGCAACAGCTGCTGGAATTACTCTCTGGCCTTTTCTGAGAAAGCTGTCTTAGGTGTAACTTTCCCTTTCAGCTTGTCCATCTTTCCCCCCTCTCTCAACTGCCTCCTTTCAGCCCCATACTCATAAATATCTTATTTAACATTGACCTTGTGGTAAAACCTACTGACCTTATTATCTTTATCCTCCTCGCATCAGTATTACTCTCTCTTACACACGCACAC